TTTGGAGTTGAAACGAGTGGATGGCATAATGTGCCGTGTTTACCGAGGACTGTGATGCCCTGTCATCTCCCCCTCTGTCATTTTTTCATCTCCTCTCCTTCGGCATCGCCGTCCCGGCTTCGTAACCGAGCGGGGAATCCTAACGTGATCATTAAGACATAAAACGGGCCGATAAATGTTTCATAAGGACGAGGCTAGACGCCGATAGCCACCCAGGAACGCCGAGGAGCCTCCGTCGCTGCAATACGACTGAAATTCGTCTTAAAAAAGGCCCGGGCTAATTCCTGCCGTGGTAATATTTACAAATTGAGTGTGAGAGACGGGGTAGGGCAGAGAGGCAGAGAGCAGGAGGAAAGGAAGAAAGAAATCAAATGAGAGAGAAGAACAGAGAAATAAATTGGCCTTTTATATTGTGCAAGCGTGTACAAAAATACTAAGTCTGCATTTATCCGAGACATGTCAATCAGAGCAGCACACTGACAATTAGTGCGTTTGAATAGAACTTTTATCATTTAGCAGACACCAGAGTCCTGACCTACTGTACAAAAATACAGCTCAGGGAATGAATGTGCCTGTAACACAATGACTGTCTATTTAAGTTTGGTGACACATAAAAAATACAGATATGACAGGCCAGACTTCAAATGAGCGGGGGGCAGAAAGCTCAGGTTTTGTAACCACGACTTCTCTGATTATAGAGCGAAGAAGAATAGTGCGAGGAGCGGATGTCAATTACAAAGACAAAGTCATCCGCACAGCGAAGGAACGGGGAACGAGCCGTAATTCGTTATTTTTTAATACTTTTACACACATATGTTATCTTTCACCGAGGGCTGGCCTCGTTTCAAAGTGCCGTTTTTAACGATTCTGCGTGCAGGGCCGGATGACTCCACAGAGGGGGCCAAACCCCATCCCCGAATCCACCAGCACCACGCCGACACCCTGCTGGCCAAATGAGGTGAGGAGGAGTTCACCTTTACTGTGCTCCTCGCAGTCGCCGCGACGTCTGTTTACGTTACACAAATCAGTAAAAAACAGGCCTGACTGTAATTTACCAGCGCCAGAGGAAACCAGCTGCAGTTCGTATCATTCGTGCATTTTTACTTTCTTTGGTTTTCAGTTTCAATTCGAGGGCAGACGCGTCGAGTTTCACTGTAAACACGTCACGTTAGATCTCACGTCTCTGTTTCACTGACACGGGAGGGAAATAACGGACTTCACAGTAAACAGGCGACCGCCGGCCTCCTCGGCAGCTCGTGTCATTTTTTTATTCTTTATTTTTAATTCTTTATTTATTTGCACGCTGTCAGTTAATCCTTCACAAACTGACAAACGCATCTTCAGCTCTGGCAGCAACACTGAGCATGCTCAGTCCAGGCTTCGCGACTGCTTCCCAAACCCACGTGTGCAGTCGTGATGACAGCAAATGCATCGTTCTTTATTTTAGGGGGTCACATGGTGCGGTTTGCTCGCCCCGACACGATGTTTTACAGAAAACTGGGGAAATTTGAAATAGTTTTCGAGTTTTGTCGCAAAGGCAGCTGAAGATGACGGACACCCGAGAACACCTGAGGACCTGGAGCTCGATCTCCTCGAGATATTCCTCTGTAATGTCAGCTAGCTACATCCACAGTGGTCTGGATCTTGTTCAGCTCGACTTTATTCCTGTTTTAATGGCACAGTAATTACACTCTAACAGTTTGTCTGCACGTGTAATTACGCCCCCATTGTACTGTCGCAATTAGATGAATATCCACGCTTTATAACCTAAGGCGTCAAGTTGGCAAATCCAATTTCAATTTGTATGGAGCGAGCATTTTGCCTGCTTGTTTGAGCCGTGGTAAGACCAGGGATATGCCGGCTAATCCCTGCCATGTTAAAACGCAAGGAAAAAAATGAAGACGCGGGGGATTCTCCGGAGAGCGGGAAGGAGAAAGAAAGAGCCAGAGGGAGCATGCACGGTCCTTTCAGAGCCAGGAGCTGCGTTTCAGGGTAGCTGAGGTTGCAGACGGTGCAGCTTTAGGCCTTACAAGCACGCAGCAAAGCCAATTTTCTACACATTCAGCGACGCCATCGTGCAACGCGGGTTTATTTGTGTGGAACAGAGGGGAGAAAGAGGCACCGGGTCCTCGTGGCAGCGCTACCTGTTGCTGAGGCTTCCTAACGTGATTACTGCACGCCGTTTCCTCCCCACACAGCAAACAATACGGGGAAGTCGGCGCGAGGATAACCAAACAAAAAAGTGCAAAAAAAAGGATGGTGATGGGCATATGTGTAATTACCTCTTTGTTTCTTTCAAAAATATTCAATAAGGAAGATGCTGAAGGTGTGCCGCAGAGCTGCGTTTAATAAGGAAGGTCTTTAAAGGACACGTCTGACAAAGGCTTTTGTTTTTCTGCTCTTTTCCTCCACACTTCACGCACTGCTTTTAAACAAGTGCCGTCTCAAAGACAAAAGTGCCGGAGCTGACCTTCTTTCACAGTTGAGATGTTATTGTTGATTACTATAATTTAAGTTTAACTCTAAATTGCTGCGGGTAGGTGGCGGGGTAGGAGGCGAGCACGCTCGCAGGTACACGCCGACGGAGAATCACGAGCTTTTCAAACCTCAGATATTAACACAATGGTACAGTACGGCATCCTGTTCACTCTTCGAGAGTGATATATGCACACGCACACACGCATGCAGCGGAGACGCATGACACCTTTCTCCACATGAGACTCAGACACTTTTTTCTCACACATCAAAGCTTCTAATTTGAGAGTCCCCGAGCTCCAAACGTGATTCATATTGTGTAAGTTGTGAACAACGACGAGTCAAGTTTGCGGCTCCTTCTTATTAAAAAACAGGAAGTGGCAAAAGAGGCTCTGTTAAAGCACTTTCAATGTCAAGTGTGTTTCCTTCACTTTCACTTAAAAGCTCCATCCGTCCACAGTCTGCGTGCTTCCTCTACACGGCTGCGACCGAGCGGCGCACACGCAGCAACGCGCACTATTTTAATTTGTTTTTCTACGTACGTTTCTGTCTTTAATCCTCCAAAGGTGCTGCCCCCAGGGCCAGATTTAACCACTCATCTAAATCTAATGCCACCCTTTGTTCTCCGCTACCATTTGGCGGTAAATACGGCGAGTTTTATTATTTGAATTTGTGCATTTATTCGTTTTGCGTACAGTACCTCTGAAGTTGCTGAAACGCCACGAGCTGTACTCGTCAGATTCAAAGTGCTCCAGTCAAAAGAGACGCAGGGACGGAGAGAGAGGGGGAGAAACTTCCAGCATTAAAATTCAGAAGATAATTACATCCGCTGCACCCCCACCCTGTTGAGAAGTGTTATGTTTAATAGTCTCTATAAAGAAAATAGGTTTTTATCTCACTCTCATTTTCATTAATTCCTAATTGGGGTGGGGGGTTGTCTGTTATTATTTCTTAGATTAAAATAAACATAGCCTGTCCCATGTTCAAACCCATCACACTACACGGGCACGATAAGGACTTCATGCCTCTGTGAATAAATAAACAATTTCGTCTCCACTGGTGGAATTAAGTTGCTTACAGCCTTAAGCTAAGCCACTCTGATTTATATTTATATATATTTATATTTTCTCTCAAAAGACTTAAAAGCACATCCTTGCTTCTGCAAATGAAGCTCGCTAATGTTTTTGACCTGCTTTATATGTATATCTTTAATTAGTGTCTTGTTTAGCTTAAACCGACTGATTATCGCGTATTCGTGACCTAATTACTGCACGCGCTTCTTAACGCCAGCGTAGCGCCCTGAGGAGCAACCAAAAGTTACCTTTAAAAACTTGTGTAATCATTAGCAATGAGCCTCCCTTAATCCCACTAAACATACACTTATCTAGCCCCGGCCGGCCTGCGTTAGCTGGGGGAAGGGGAGGGGTTCGCTCATCCCCGCCGTGTTTATTAAAGACATTTATTAATCGCTGTGCTTAAGACGAGCTCGTCCCCGCACTCCCGGGAAACACACTGCTAACCCGCGAACGGGCACGATGGCGTTCTCTGGAGTCTTAATGGCAGAAACAACAGAGCTGACTCTGTGTTTCACGTGCACCGCTAGTTCAATGAAAGTCAAACAGTGTGTGGCCCAGCGTTTACACAGACTGTACACAAAGATGGACGCAGCATCCCTCTCTAACGCCCTGAGGGGGGCGACTCCTCTGGGGCCGGCTCAGGTGCTTATTTCACAAACTACGGTCACGGCGAGTGTCAACGATGAGAACACACATCAGCTGTTTTTATATATAAAAACATGAACCCATCATGTAAACCAGCGGTCTCCAACCTTTTTTGCGCCATGGACCGGTTTATGCCCAACAATATTTTCATGGACCGGCCTTTAAGGTGTCGCGGATAAATACAACAAAATAAAACTAGTACTGGTACCGAACAAGAGAAGATTTATTCATAACACACGTGAAAAGACCCAGGAAAACCGAGTTAACGATAAAAACAAAATAACGCTAAAAACCGATAAAAACCCTGAAAACTATACATTTCACACCTGAGCCTCAACTCGGCGGCCCGGTACCAAACGACTCACGGTCCGAGGCCCGGGGGTTGGGGACCGCTGATGTAAAGCATCACAGATTAGATTAACGATAGCTTAAGGTTAAGATTAGGTAAGCAAACAGAGCATCCCATGTGGTCTCAGAGTGAACTACACCCTCTGCATCAGTTTGAGGCTGGAGGCACGAACAGGTCGAGGGGTTCGAGGACTTTTACGTGTTGTTTGTGACTCTGCATCTCTTCTCAACCTTTTTTTACATTTGAGCCGCCTTAAAAAACCCAAAGCAAACGTCACTCGAGGTCTTCTTCCTTTAATAAAAGCTGATCGCTGCTGTTTATGTGTTTAAAAGATTTGACTAGAACAGAAATTTCATGGAAAGATCACAGGAAAAGATCTACATCACTTTCTCTGGTGGGCATGGAGGACGCTCGCTCCATTGCCTTCTAGTTGATTCAGTAAGTAGTTCTCCTACCTGAAGATGGTGAGGAGGGATGGGGGCTGTCGTCCTGGATGCTTCCCGTCTGGGAATGTCCCCCGCCAACGCCACTCTCCTCTGTCACATTGGATGAACCGGGAGTGGTGGAGCGGCTGATGGACTGGGACTCGGGGTCACTGGCCGATCCACGGCGTTCATCCAGTCCTTGCTGAAGTGCCTCGTCAATGCCTCGCCTGTCTTTACCGTGGATTCGCGAGTGGACGACCATTTGATGGTAGGTTCTGAAGACACGTCCGCAGTCTGGGCACTCGGAAGGCTTCTCCTTCAGGCCGGACAGGCCGGAGAGGCTGTAGTCAATGTTTGGGCTTCCCAAGCCAGCCAGGGCTCCAGGAGCCTCAGCACTACCGTGGTGGGACATGAGGTCACGGTGACCGTCAAAGCCTCTTCCATCCTCCTTCATGGACATCACTGCTCCACTGGAAGCCTTGGATCCCTGCAGGGCCTCGGAGAGCTGCTTCTGCTTGGAGCTATCGCCGGAAGCAATCAAGGAGTAGTCTTGTTTCTCCTTTGAGAAGGAAGCCAAGGAGCCCGCACCAGCCATCTCGTCTTCCTGCCCCGGGGTTATATGGTGCTGCTGCTGCTGATCCTTGGGCATGAAAGCCCTGTCCATAGCCATTCCTCGAGCCATTATCTGCCAGGCTTGGTAGCTATTGATCGAGTCCATCTCTGCCACCTTTGCAGCCGCCTGGAGGCGCTCCATGCAGCTCGACTTGAGCGGTGGAACGAGGTTGAGACAGCCGAGGAGGGAGCGCTTCTCGTTTTCACCTAGCCCGTGGCCTATTGCACCTGCCATGGGTCCAAGCAGCTTTCCTAACATCTCCTTTTCCTTCATGGCTATCCCCGCTTTAGCCAACATCTGGTGCTGCTCGCTGAGGCCCTGCTTGTCTGGTGAAAGGAAGCCTCCCTGGAGACAGGAAATGTAGCGGGAATAAAGGTTGGCATGGGCTTCCTGAGCCAGATTGCTCATGCTGTTGACGGCGGCCATGTCCTGCTCACTGGGCTGGGGTGGCTTGCTCTTGATGGCCAGCTTGTTCAGATGCACCTTCATGTGGTTCTTGAGGAACCAGGGTTCCTTAAAGCGACGGCCACAGATTTGGCAGCAGTGTTCAAAGGACTCCTTGTGCTTTCTCATGTGGCCCTTGAGGAACCAGGCTTGGCTGAACACCTGGCCGCAGACCTCGCAGCGAAACTCGGTGGCCATCTGCATGCCCCCGGAGCCACCAGAACCCTGGCCCTGCGTGGTCTCGGCTGTGATGTGGGCCTTCTCCACGTGGCTTATCAGCTCTTCCTCGTGGGAGGCGGCGAACTCGCACAGAGTGCATTTGTAGGGCTTGTGGAGAATGCGGATGTGACGGTCCAGCTCCTCGCGCTTCTTGAACTTCCCTTTGCAGAAGGTACAGCGGAAGCCCACAGTAGGGTTCAGAGACTGGTCGTCCTGAGCGCCGGCCGGCTTGGGTGAGGAAGACGGCTGAGAAACTGTGTCTGGAGTGGCGAGCCCGGAGGAATGGGTGGGGGCGCAGGTTGGCCCTAACTGCTGCTGGTGGGTGTTTGAGCTGCTGTTGGGGCCCAGATGTGGCGTCTGAGCGGCCTGGAGGAGACTGCCGCTCCCTCTCATCTGCTTGTCTCTCAGGATGGCCCTCTCCTCGAGCTCGTGCAGCAGCCGGTTCTCTTCTCGAACTCGGCCACGGCCTTTTCCCAGGTTCCCCAGTTTGTGGGTGCGGAGATGGATCTTCAGGTTGCCCTTTTGGGCCGCTCTGTGGTCACAGTAGGGGCACTTGAATGGCTTCTCTCCCGTGTGTGTGCGCATGTGCAGAGACAGGATGCTGTTGAAACGGAAGCGCTTGCCACACAGCGGGCACGGGTACTTCCTGTTCTTGCGAGCATCGTCTTCGATATCATTCATCTGGGACATGATGCCCAAGTTCTGCCCGTTGAGAAACTGCTGCAGGTCGACACGCCCGTTTAACCCACTCAGTGCCCCCGCGTCTATGTCTCGATTGAGCTGATTGGCTAGTAGAGCCATCTGGCTGCTGATTGGTTGACTGGCCAGGGCTGCGTGGTGTGTCTTCTCATCCAACGGCGTGGCCGCCTTCTCTTCGGGAATCTGCTGTGGGCGGTGCAGGTCGGGAAAGGCGTGTCCTAACTGGGCAGTGAGCTGGTGGAGCTTTTGACTGATTGGGTAACGGCCGTTTAGAACAGCATTGCTCAGGTGGGCTTCGGCGTCAGGCACCACTGACGATACACCAAGACATAAACTAGAGTCCTCCATCCTGAAGAAACAGAAATAAAAACATATTAGAAACATTTTTGACGTATTTTAATATTTTACAGACATTCAACGATCGTGTGTGGGCGTTCATCCAACCACGTGTCTGGAAATGTGGATGCCAGTTGTGTTCCTGTCATATTTCAGGTGTATGTACACGTTATCAACAAGTAATGCTCAGTTTTTCTGCTCTTGGATCTCTGTGATGTCATAGAGACACAGGATCAGATAAAAAAGGATTTTTGTTTTGAACTGAAAATCATGTAAAGATGCTTCAAGGATGAGTGGGTGTGGAGCAGGATAGGTGCCCTGGTGAAATAAAAACACCGGTGTGAACTGTCAGCGCCGAAGGCTGCGGGGAAGCTGTGAATCAGAACTTTTTCAAAATGTAAAGCCGTTTTGGATGGAATAATTACTCTGTAAACACAGTGAGCAGTGTATAATTAAGCTACTTGTGCCCATCCTATCAGAATTCCTCCAATTACACGCCTTAATGAAATGGAGCAACTGCATTGCCGGGAAGCCACGGCAATACTACAATTATGATATTAACAATAGCACTTAAAACCAAGGGGTTACTCCAGTAAACACAACATTCTTATCTCGGTGCCACGACACTTGTCTTGGCACAATATTCCATTAAAGAGCCGTATTACATTTGATGTGAATCGCTTTGCTCTTTGCTGTCTGCGCTCTTCACCGTTTCCAGGACGGTGGAAACAACACGAAGATGCCGTGAATACACCGACGCTGCTCTGTGAACAGCTCTTTGTTCTGCGGGCTTTTGGGTGAAATATGTCACAGTTTTCACACCGCGTTGTAACGCCATTAAATGTGTTTTCATTCCGTATGTGTAACATCGGCGAATGCATAAGTAAAAAATAAATAAACAACAGAGCTTTTAATGCACATCCATCTGTTCTCCAGATGGAGAGGTATAAACATCTATGGCTGCTTGCAGGGGTCAAACCTGCAAAACAATAAGTGTGGTTCTGCTTAGGTCAACAAAATATTGTATAATATCTCATTAAGCTGATTAGCATGCTGCCTGGTAACAGCGGCAGCCCCTGGACTTTAATGTAGCATTATAATCATCAAAAAGCGCTTTCGAGGAGAGGCGGCGTGAAGGAGTGGCACTAGGTGACATGTTAGGAAGCTCACAGGAGCAAAGGGCATCCACACTGGGATCCTTCTTCTCTTTCTCCACCTACGTTTGTGAAGCACACACTACACCACGCCGTGCTCGGCTTAAGTGTTCATTCAACCCCCCCTCCCCTCCCAGTAGGAGGTCAGTAGACATAAGGGCTGCCTGTTCTGGTACCGCAGAGTCCTCCAACACACTGCCGATGGTGGATTCTTATCTCGCTGACATGAATTAAACACTGTGGCCACTTTCCACTTGTGTGTAAAGGAATGTGACACTTGTGGGCTGCCCTTTGAATTCTCCTTATTTCTCCCCACAAGTATCGTAAAGTAATGCGCCTGAATTCATTAAGAGCATAATGGCTATGCTATGTTCTGCAGGCTTGCATACAGCGCTTCGATGTGCTCTGTCACAGATCTTATCTGACCCGAGTGACGCTGAAAGAAATCACTTTAGGAGCCTGCTAATAAAAAGTTTGTGCTTGAATGACATATCTACAGACTGGCCACAAATGAAAGGAAAACCTGAACGTGTGACCCGTCCAGCTGAGAGGCTGTGAGACGGTGCCGGGTCCGTTTTGAGCGCTCACCTTCCTGCCGTGACGATCTGCCCGATCTGCACCACAAACCTGATTTTTTGTGAAAATGTACCTACTTCCTGTCACTGCTGTCATTTCAAAGCAATCTTTGTCTTGCTGTTGTTCCAGTTAAAATCATTCTGCAGAAATGTAATCTCTATATTTGCCTGTATTTGTTCAAGCTCATGCTTAAAAACACAATACTGTTGAATTTAAAGGTCACACGTCATGTTGATAACTGGAACATAAGGCGCTAAATGATGTGAATTATGATATACAATCACAGTTACAATAAATATATTACTTTGTTCAGAGGTTGTCGAATAATTAGGATAATCTTTTTTTTTTTACCTTCGTTTCAGTTCATGCATGAAAAAAAGTTGTTTTTAGCAAATTGGAAATAAAAATCTAATTTTAATCAACCACAGGACTGAAATATGAACCTGCAGTTCGTCCGACGTCCAGCAGGGGCAGCGGTGAGTCAGTCCCCACAGACCCCCGTGTTGCACAAATAAACATGTTTACAGCCTGATACACAAACGTCACGACACCTGCACAGGGGGAGGATGTCTGCATAAATCACCCAGATTTAAGCGTGCATAATTATGGGCGTGGCCTGACGCTCCCATACACGCTGTGCGAACACAGCTGACCTCCCTCTCGTCTAAATTTGGAAACAAAAAGATTTAATCACCATGGTGACCAAAACGTCACGCTCTTTCAGACCAGGATCGGTGTCCATCCTTTACGTACAGTCTGTTTTAAAGCTGAACTTTTTCACACAAGCTGCTGTTTTTCCTTTAATTTGTCACCATATAGTTTTATCACACGCTCCCGCGGCGTGGGAGAATTACTGCTGGGAAGGATCAAACTTTGTTAGGCTGCTTTAAACGACTTGTGGTTTTAAATTGTATTTATGTGACACCCCATCTTCCATCAGCAGCCGTGCATATATTGGAGGAGACCTTATTTGAATGGGCCCTTTTTACAGAAGCGGCTGCCTTTTGGAATAGAAATCTGTGATTTAAACTAGGCTGATGAGCTGTTGCTCATTTGGGGAGATAGCAGCTTGCCCTTTTCTTCAATTTGATTTCTGCCTTTATCTTTAACATATAACAAAGGCAGATAGACAATGGAATAATGTGAAATGAACTGACGAATCCAGTTTGTGTTTTTTATAAACGTATCCTGGCTGACGAGCGTATGCAAATGAGGCACATTAATATGCTCGCCTTGCTCCCGAGTCATTTTATATTTTTTCCCCTGATTAAAAAGGACATTTCTTATGTGACATCCCCCCTCTGCTCACATCCGCACGCACGAGCACGCGCGCGGGGGAATTGGAGGGCGGCGTGCGAGACGTAGACACGCAGCCAGTCAAACACGAGCCTCTGACTACAGACAACAATTCGATATGCGAGTGCCCTCTAAAAGATGAGTGCGCTGCAGCTCGCTGCTCCCGCCACATCGAGCGGCTCGACGCCGTCACAGGAGAACTCGGTTCTTACCGGCCATCCTGGGGAAAGACTCGGGGCCCCGCCGTCCCTCGCCGCAGACTCCGTTACGAACGCCAGCCGCACCTTTGTGCTCTTACAGTACATGTGCCGTTATTCTCTAACCTGTGCGACCTTATCATTTCCTGGCATGTGCTGCAGCGCTGCCTCATTAAAACTATTGGCTCCTCCGATACCTCTAAAACCACAAAGACTTCCTTTAGCATTTTCTCACGACGGCTCGCTTGTTGTCTTTATAGTTTGTGGTTTAATATTCAGCGAGGCACCACGTGCGCTCACAAACACGGCGAATCCTCTGCACGCTCACACAAACTGATTTCACTTGGTTTCTCTTCAATCCTCAGCTTAATTATAAGTGGTATCTGTGACACAATGGAAGTATATTACAGTCACCATTTAAATGTGCTCAGTTCATTTCTTTCTTATCAATGGTAGCATGCATCATAAATGCATACAGGATTTAAATGTGCTCCTCTCTAATTGCAACCATATAAATTATTGCATATGAAAGGCCCTCGCCGCATTAGGGATGGCCGCTGTTATGAATTCATATTCAAACAAACAGCGTTCTTGGTGAATTTGCTGTCAGGCTCGAGTTTTGTCAGAAAACTTTTGGCTGACATTTAAGACGAGACGGGTGGGGGGGGATCGAAAAGCCATTAGTCGGACTTTACTTTGTTATTTTGGCATTTATCGACACGAAACCCATCGACTAATCACAATGCGATACCTCATTAAGTCCTAATGAACAAATTCATTGCGTTAAACAAATCAATCATTATTCACAATGTGCCGAATTCAATCATATCTGGACCGAATCGTTAACGAGACGCAGGGGCTGCGGCGACGGCGCTCTGATGTCGGGGGGACGACGTGGGTTCCTCACGTGCTAAATATTTGGCGATTAGGCGAGCGGCGGGGACAGTCGGGTTCATTAAAAAGCTCTATTCTCAAAGTACAAACAGAGCTTCCTCATCTTGTCAAAGATCAATTACCTCTCGGCAAAAGACGGTTCGGTTCGAGCGCGTATGAGTTTGTTCCCGGCTCGTGTTTTGTTCTATTGCAGGTGGTCTTTGCGAGACGTCTAATTAATCCAATAAAAAAGCCGCCTTGTTTTCCTTCCTCTCGCTCGCACTTTGACTTTGCCGCATTATTACTTTCTGTAATGAGGCAAAAACACTCTGCACTCAGCCGCACAGAAACACCTGCTGGAGTCGAGCGCAGCTCCAGCCGAGGCCGGCGGGCCGAAGCCCGCGAGAGGACGGCTGCTTTTAAAAGTCTGCGTAAAAAGACGTTTACGGCGATGCCAGTCAGCTGTTACACTGACATGCAGCAGGTTTCCACTGAGCTCCTTGAACTGAATCGTAAGAACACGAGTGGATTAACACGATCCTGCTGCACTTCAGCACAGACAGCAGAGAGCTGTGACAAACTGAATGAACAGGAGCCTCTCCCTCTCTCTGCACAATATGTCATTGAGGGCTGTTTAAGAGGTCCTGTCAACAGGTAGTTCAACTTTCAGCTCATCCCCGCTGATCAGCGAGGGCCCTCCTGACAGCGAGAAAAGAAAGACACCGGGAGGGAGCGGGAGGCACAGAAAGAAAAATGTTGTGGCTCTTTTTATCCATCCGGCGCTCTGACAGCCTTGCGGGGGATGCCATGGGAGGAAGATCAATGCGGGACAAGCGGATTCCCACAGTTCATTGTTCCGGGCCGGCCAAATCATCTTCCCAAGACGGCCGGGAGCTCAAAGCCTCCCTTTATGATAA